AGATTTGAACTGCTGACCTTTTGGTTAGCAGCCTGAGCTCTTAACCACTATAGCTCTTATCAATAAGTTTAAAAAACATGGGAATGGTTACAGAAAGTACTGTCAGATAATTTTAAACTCGCTTGTGATTTATTCTGAGCTTCTTCAATAGGTAATGAAGAAAACAGAGTTTGTTAGATGGATTGTGTAGGCAGCCTGGTTGTTGTAACAAATTTATATAGAATTTTGAGAAAAATGGCTATTTTACTGGACACTGAATTTTGATACTTAAGGGGGGACACACATGGGAAAATGACTTGGATATTGTAAAATATTTTCAGCTTGTGTTATATTGAGGGTAACCATGAATACCTGGTAAAAATCATAGAGATTATTACACCTCTTCCGGCAGTATAATTCTTTCTGTGTTACAAAATAAATATTTCTAGGGAAATAATCTCAGAGTTTAGAATGTAAATTAGGACTGACGACAAGGAACTAGTGTGGGTAAAAGAAAAATACGAATTATGTTTACTCGATCTTTGTGAAAATATGTCTGTGACTTCTCTCCTCCAGACAGAATTGCTTATTTTTATAAACATGCTGATGTGGAAGTTTATACAGTCATTAAAAGCCAATTAAATTAAGAAAATTAAATAAGAAGATGTTTCCCTTTGTCTACGTGACATGTAAAGTTATAAGTAAATTGCCTTGCGTTTAATATTTGGCTTACGATATTACTCTCTGGGTGAAAACAAGGAAGAGATTCCAGTTTCTAGATTCAGGTAATAGCCTTCTTGGGGGGCACTTTTGATAAGTTACTGATTTGGGATCCAGTCCCAGAGTGAGGACATGCTTAATCATCAGAGTCCCTGGGTGGTGCATACAGTTAAGACGCTCAGCTGCTAACCAGGAAATTGGAGATTTGAGTCTACCCAGAGGCACCTCAGAAGAAAGTCCTTGCTGTCTACTTCCTAAAAATCAGCCGCTGAATACCCCATGGAGCACAGTTCTACTCTGACACGTGCGGGGTTACCATGAGTTGGAGTGAACTTGATGGCAACCAGTTTTTTGTTTTTAGTATTAACCCCTTTATTATTGACAATGCTATTAAGGTTTATAGACACAAACAGGCTACTTTATTCCATGTATTTGCAGACATGTGCTCACCGATATGAAAAAAGGCAACATGTTAATACGAAGCAGGAATCCCGAGACATCTTTGGGAGGTGTTACGTCCTCAGTCAGAATCTCAGGATTGAAGATGATATGGATGGAGGAGATTGGAGCTTTTGTGATGGTCGTTTGAGAGGCCATGAGAAATTCGGTTCTTGCCAGCAAGGTGTAGCAGCTACTTTTACTAAAGACTTTCATTACATTGTGTTTGGAGCCCCGGGTACTTACAACTGGAAAGGTATGGCATTTTTATTTATAGAAATAGAGATTAGAATGTCTATATAATTACTATAAAATGTACCATGGTTTAGTACATTTTAAGTTAAGACAAAACGTATCATAAGGCATTTGTTTGTTATAGAAGTGGGGAAGGATAAATTGAATTCTCTAAATCATGATTTTTTAAAAACAAGTATTGGTGAAAATGTCTGTTTGTTTAAGTGTTGAGAGTTTTTTTGGGTTTTTTCCCCTTTTACCAGTAATTTTCATGGATACAAGCAGTTAACTTTTTTTTTTTTCTGTAGGAATATAATAATTAGCATGAGTAGTTTTTGCTGTTTCATGTTTGCCTGTTTTATGAAGCTAAAGGTTTTAATTTTAAGTTAGTGTTATGAACACCATGAAGAATTAAGTGGTGCTGTGTACAAATAAATGAGCCCTGGTAGTGCAGTGGTTAAAGCGCTTGGCTGCTAACCAGAAGGTCGGCAGCTCGAACCCACCAGCTGCTTTTTGGGGGAAAGACATGACAGTCTGCTCCCGTAAAGATTACAGCCTTGGAAATCCTATGGGACAGTTCTACCCTGTCCTGTAGGGTCTCTATGAGTCAGAATTAACTGGACAGCAATGGGTTTGGTTTTTGATTTGGTGTACAAATAACACTGTGTGATTACAGAATTTTCTTTTGTACTTTATCCTAGGAGGCTATGCTTTGCTAATAAATCTATAAAGTCAGAAGGGCAGATGTCAGACACGTTAGGGACTTTTGAGACAATAATTTCAGATAACTTGAGGAAAAGTAACTTATTGGTATTGTTTGATTATTATTGTGGTGTGGGTAAAAAGAAAACACTGAGTGGAAAGGAGGAAAATTGCTCACTTTTTTGACTGGATGAATCTGGTCAGTTCCTGTTATAAAAGTTTAACTTTTGAAGAAATTAGGAAAGTATAGAAAGCCACTATATCATAAAGGATGATTTTCCTAACTCTAGTCCATGATGAGGGGAAATGTATATGATTTGGACATAAAACATTTTTTGAGATACTTATCAAAATAAATTCTGTGTTATAACATTTTCACTAGTGAGGAAAAACTTAGAAAAAGTTTTCTTTTCCATTAAAACAATTTCAAGTTTTTACTCTGACAGGGATCACAATAGAGGGTCCTGAACAGAGCTGGAAAAAGATGTAGAACAAAGTTCTAACTCACAAAAAAAGACCAGACCTACAGGTCTGACAGACTGGAGAAACCGAGAGTGTGGCCTCGGACACCTTTTAATTTAGTACTAAAGTCACTCCTGAGGTACACCCTTCAGCCAAAGATTAGACAGGCCCATAAAACAAAATGAGATTAAGTGGGCACACCAGGCCAGGGACAAGGACTAGAAGGCGGGAGGGGACAGGAAGCTGGATGAACGGAAATGGGGAGCCCAAGGTCGAGAAGGAGAGAGTGTTGACGTGTTGTGGGGTTGGCAACCAATGTCACAAAACAATGTGTGTGTTAATTATTAAATGAGAAACTAATTTGTTCTGTAAATCTTCATCTAAAGTATAGTAATAATAAAAAAAAATTCAAGTTTTAATTCCTATCACAAAATGATTTTTGGGAAAACTTCCTCTGCTCTATCAGCTGTAGATGTACCTGTGCAAGTAATTTCCTTTTGCCTTCCTGCCCCAGAAGGAACTTTCATGGGATGATATTTGTCAGGTGATTCTGATCTAATTGAAATAAAGTGTTGAATTTAGAAATATTTTTATTTTAGCAAGAATAGATGTCATATATAAAAAAATAAAAACCAAACCCATTGCCATTGAATCAATTCTGACTCATGGTGACCCTATAAGACAGAGTAGAACTGCCCCATATGGTTTCCAAGGAGGGCCTGGTGGATTTGAATTGCTGACCTTTTGGTTAGCAGCCATAGCTCTTAACTAGTATGCCACCGGGGTTTCCAATGTCATATATAGTAAAACAAAACAAAAATACCCACCAACTATGTATGTTGCAACTTATGGGCAGTATGTCTTAACTGCTTTTATAAACCCTGACCTAAAATGTTGCCATTTTTAAAAAGTTGTATAATTTGGACTTACTGTGTGATCTTGTCTTTCTAATTAGATAATTGTGAGCATTTTGAAAAGATCAAATCTTGGTTCCTGTGATTTAAAGAAAAGATCAAAATGTTGATTTCACTTGTACCGTAGAGCAAAGGAGCTCAACTGATCTTGGGTTACAGAGAATGTAAAATATCATATGTATTAAGTTCATGTCAATTTAAAAAATTGGTTTTTGTAGGTTTTGTTAACTAAGTAAACATATTCCAGTTTCCATCTAGTTTCATGGCATTGTAGAGATAGTTCATGAAAAAGCAGGGAACATTTCTTTCTTTCTTTTCTTTTTTTTTTAATTACTACAACAGTTTTCTTTGATGTAAAAATGCACATTAACATTATTTTAACAACCTTAAAAGTCATCTTTCCTCTGTCTTTTCTTCCTTCAGACTTTTTCTCCCTGTACTCAGTGATAGCATGGGGGATGAATATTAGGAACCATTTACTTTATTTTGTTTCATCTTCATTTTTTTTTTTTGTTTTTGCCATTTCACTCCTTCAGGGATTGTTCGCGTAGAGCAAAAGAATAACTCTTTTTTTGACATGAACATCTTTGAAGATGGGCCTTATGAAGTTGGTGGAGAGAGTAACCATGACGAAAGTCTAGTTCCTGTTCCTGCCAACAGTTATTTAGGTAGGAGTGAGCGCTGTGTGATACTCCCCTCCCAGGGCCCACAGGAGCCTGGACTCCTCAGGTCGAGAACCAGCTGGAGTCAGGGGTCCCTGGCTGCATTTGCAGGAATTTGATTTAAACGTTGGTGATCCCGAGGTTACCTGACTGGTGTTTAGAATCCTTCAGATGAGGAGACACCTATTATCTCCTAAAATTGATCATCTCCCTGCTTGGAAGCCCGTCTCCTGAGCTAATGGCGTCCTCTGTAACCTGAAATGGGCTATTCATGCAGCCAAGATAGAAGGCAAGGATGTTCATAGTATACCGAGCCGCCTTCTTTCTCCCTTCAATGCTTCTTTCTAGAGATTCTCTTAAGAGCTACATTCGTAAAGTAACTCTTAAATGGCAGTTCAAGACCTCTGGGTCCTTACTGTATGATTGCTGGTCCCCAAAGGTTGGCTTTGCTTCTGGATTGGGGCCCCCATGTCACAGAGCCCCTGGTGGGTGGCACGGGGGCTTTCTGACTGAGGCTGCGCAAGACTGCTAAAGTAGCTTCGAGGACACCCAGAATGTGTCTGAGTGCCAATTCCTTACCTCCTAAGACTTGTTTGCATGACTAATGGGTGTCCTAAATTATTCATGTGCATTATGATAATTACAAAAGGCTTTTAAAAGCTTTAATTCTTGGTATGAATTGACATAAAGAATAATTACTGTGCATTTCTTAGAAAAAAATGTAAAAAATCTCCCAAACCTAAATAGTAACCTGTTTAAAAAAAAAAAATCATAAGGAGAAAAGTACTCATAAGCTTAGAGATATTACTGGAACTATGGAACATGAAAAAGGAAAAAACAGGTATAGATATGAATTATTCTAACTAATGTCTTAATATACATACTCTGAAAAAATTGTTCTAATTGTATAAATATGTATGAACCATACTGTTAAATGTAAAAAAAAAAATTTTCAGCATCCTACCCTCCCCCCTAAAAAGTTAAAACTTGGTATAAGATATGGAAGATAGAAGAGAAAAATTGTGCTTAATTATTAAGCACCTACTGTGTGCTGCAAGCCAGACACTATATTTAGCACTTTACATATCTTATCTCATTTAATCTTCCCAACAATGTGATAGATATTATTGTCCCTCTTTTGCTGATGAGAAAGACTGCAGCTTAGATTAATTTCTTAGTCTAAGGTCACACAGTATTCATTCTCCCAGCCAAGGAAAGAAATACTTGTGAAACTCACAGGAGCAGCAGGGGAAACAGCTGGGTGTGTGAATGGGATGTTAGTGGCCTTGCAGGGCAGGAAGGGAACCAGTTGAGCGGTTTGCAATCTCAATTAATTGTTTAACACAGTTTTTCAAGGTAAAATCCTTTTCCAGGTAAATATTATCAACATACCAATATTTTATTTGAATATATTTTAACAGACAACCTCTCTCTCTGCAAATACATTATTTAGAGACTAGTTATGATGAAAAGTATTTAATCTTAATTGATCTGGTCAAGAAACCAACACTTTGGTCTTCAAGATAGATGCCCGGGGATTTTATAGCCATTATTGCTGGTAGAACATTTTAAAGTAGTAAACATTTTTATGAAACACATTTGCCACTTTTAGAATGCATTTTCTCAAAAGTAGATGCCTTAAAAAAAATTAAGTTCTCGTTGTTACATTTTGGTTGTCCATACTGTCTGTGAATCTGTCATTTCAAAAGATCAGTGGGTCTTAGGGATAAAATGATCTCCTGGAAGTTTCAGAAGCTGGGAAAGATCACAGCTTGCCAATGCAATGATGACCTCATCCTTCGGCGAGAACTGCGACAGCCGTCCTTGCCTATTACGGAGCATAATTGTTTTTTCCTTCAATCTCTTCCGTCCCGTGCATGTGTACAGGCCTGCTGTTTCTGACCAGTGTCTCCTATACAGATCCCGATCAGTTTGTTTATAAAACACAGCCTCCCAGGGAGAAGCCTGACACATCCCCTGATGTGATGATGAATAGCTACCTAGGTTTGTGACCTCTGAGATGACAAATAAATTGTCTTGGTCATGGTCATTTGAAAAAAAAATGTTTGATCCATACAGAGCATAAATCTTTTTTTTTTCTATTTCATTTCAAGTGCAGCACACACAAAAAGCATGCCATGTTTGAAGCTCTGCTGCCAGATAGCTTTCAGAGCTGGATTGGATTATATCGCCCTATTCTAAACCTGTAGCTCGTATGTTTTTCACCTCACTTCACAATTTGAGAACTGTAACAGTAGTGGTGATGCCTTTCATAAATATAGCCCAATAAAAGGGGTGAGCTTATATTATTCTGCACCTGCTTCACCTTTATATAGAAAGATGTACTCGATTTGAATGGGCACTTATATTTGTTCTTTGCCAAATGTCAGTATTTGTCATCTGAATCCTACCAGATGCTTTATATTTAGTGTACTAATGGTTTTTTGTCCTCTGAACAAGAATGTATTTGAGATCAGTGACAACTTAGTCACCTCTATTGTTTATACTAGATTCTCAAAATACTATATATCATCAATCATGGTTACGTTTGCACGTTTGTGTCTGAGAACTGAGTTGGTCCAAAATAATGAAATGCTATCTATGGTATATTAACGATGTTAGCATTGATTTTGCCCAGTTACCAAGGAGATTGATGAACATGGAAGCTATTCATGAATCAAATACTAATCATTATATTATAGCAGAACCTTATAACATGAACTCAATTGCACTGCAAGTCAAATATTGTTCTCTCTGTATATGATGTAACTTTCCCACATTAATATCTAGTTTGATCTCCTTTTATCACAGTTTCAGGATTAAAATGAGGTTCAAATTCACTCACAAAACACATGAATTTCATAATTCAAGTTACACAAATGCTAAACAGCATAGATGCTTCTCTTTTAAAGTCTTAATATCCATAGAAAGCAGTGAAATAGTCCTACTACTCTGTACTTGTGTCAAATCTCTGAGCTCTATAACTCATTCATATTATAAATATAATAGTTGGTGGGAGGGCCTGGGAGAGAGATGGGAAGCAAGAGGAAAAGGTAAAGATGGCATTACCAATGTCAGATACCTCATGAAATACAGGATTGATGTGAGAGGCTGCATTTTGTTTTTCTAGGCTTTTCTTTGGACTCAGGGAAAGGTATTGTTTCTAAAGATGAGATCACGTTTGTATCTGGTGCTCCGAGAGCCAACCACAGCGGAGCTGTGGTTCTGCTAAAAAGGGACATGAAGTCTACACTTCTTCTACCTGAGCACATATTTGATGGGGAAGGTCTGGCCTCTTCGTTTGGCTATGATGTGGCAGTGGTGGACCTCAACAAAGATGGGTGAGAGCATCTTAGGTTGTTTTATATGGCAATTCATTGCTTCTTTGACTGGCCTCTGTAGGTCTTGAGTAGAGCCTTCTTTTCAGGTTAATTGGTTCAAAGAATTATTTTGCTGCTAGATTTGTACCATCCCATCACATCTTCATCACTTGTATGATGTCAGTAGATGTTCATTACCTTTCCTAAGGTATAGGATGACATTTTCAATGTTCAGATTTGGCTTGTGTCTTGGGATTACGGGCCCATGAGAATTAAAATTTGAAAGAAGAAATTAACCCTATGCAGTGACTCCTACGTGGTTCTGTTCAGTGGTTTCTTACGCGACTGTTGGAGCATCCAGAATGTCCTGTTGAAAACGGGTGGGTGACAAGGTCAATGCATAGATCTGTGGCTATTGGTGCCAGTTTGGGTGGGGTGGTAAGGTCTTTCCTGGAAGTCCCACTGCACTATAATTCTAATTTAGGAAACTAGATTTGAGTTCTTTTCCTCAATACTTTTCTTCGGGCATTTATTATAGGCTACCTTGGATTTTTGTTGGTATCTCTTTGTCCTTAGTATCTGGCCTGGTACTATTATTTCTAAGCTTGCTGGTATTTTAGCTGATGATTCACAGTTCTTCCCCTAATTATGTTTTTAGGTGGCAAGATATAGTTATTGGAGCCCCGCAGTATTTTGATAGAGATGGAGAAGTTGGAGGTGCAGTGTATGTCTACATTAACCAGCAAGGCAGGTGGAGTAATGTCAAGCCAATTCGTCTTAATGGAACCAAAGATTCTATGTTTGGCATTGCAGTCAAAAATATTGGCGATATTAATCAAGATGGCTATCCAGGTAGATAATAGATTGTGAAATAGTGATGATTTATAGGGATTATGTGGTTGTTTAAAATAATGAGTGTTTATGGCATCTTATTTTAAAACATTATATTGGGATGTTTTAAAGATGTAATGTTTGTCAAATGTGATATTGTCTACAGATATTGCTGTTGGAGCTCCCTATGATGATAACGGAAAGGTTTTTATCTATCATGGGTCCGCGAATGGAGTAAATACCAAACCAACACAGGTAACCCAGTAACCTGGCTTTCTACAATAAGGGTCTCAGCCTTTTGCCTTGTAATAGAATATTTAGGTTTAAGTGGATTGTCACACTAATCATGTTTTACTTACAAGTCTATAATAGTATGAATTTTTTAAAACATATTACTAGAGGATAACTTGGAAATAGATATAAATGCAATGACCTACTTATTTTAATGATGAAATTTCTTAGTTAAATTAGAAATCAAAGTAATCCAAGGTAAAAGACCCTGACAGCATAAAGAGATGGAAATATGATATGCTTCCTTTAGTAGCTTATTAAATAGAGGTGAAGCCAGGCAAATGAACCAGATGGTTATAATTACGTGAGAAATTCAAGCTCCAAAAATTAAAAATTACTTTTGAGAAAAATAAGACATTTAGAGGTCAGGTAGAAGGATTTGGCCTGAAATATCCTGATTGACTTTATATAGTACACCACCTCTTCAAGAATTGGGTCTTTTATCCTTTGAGATACCAGTGTAAATCAGGTGACTTGTACGAAATAAAATATATGAAGTATATAAGTTTATTCTAATTTATTTGTAAGTGAACTCTTAAACTTCAGTTCCAGAGAAACTTGTGTGCCTTTTTTCAAAGCATAGATAAGAAGCTCATGTTGATGGCTCAGTGTCCATTCTGATGCCCTGCTCGTTTCAGGTTCTCGAGGGCAAATCACCTTATTTTGGATATTCAATTGCTGGAAATATGGACCTTGATAGAAATTCCTACCCTGATGTTGCTGTTGGTTCCCTCTCAGATTCAGTAACTGTTTTCAGGTGTGTTATCTCTGACTTTACTTAAGCATGTTCAATAATAAGGTTACACTGAAATTTTTACATTTTGGGTTGAAATTACCGAAATCTAATGCCTGTACTTCAAAGGCGAAGACCTGTGTGAATTTCAAAGATTTTTCTTTTGAGGATAGTGTAACAACTTAATAAAAACTTATTTTGGAAGATCTTGCTAAATTTGAACTAATTGAGGGATAGGTCAGAATTAGAACTCTTTAGAAATATATTTTTAAAACTTTTAGTTTGATAAGAACGAACTATGTTTACATGTAAAATTTGACAGTACAGAGAATAATAAAGAATAAAATAAAAATCCCGTATAATTCTCCATCCATTACTGAACTCTGAAATTGTGGTTTATAGTCTTCTAGTCTTTTTTCTGTAAATGTAGATATGCGTTTTTAAAAATTGAGATCATAACGTACATTGCTTTATAACCTGCTTTTGTCAATTTATAATGCATAGTGAGCTTTTTTCCATGTCATTGAGTACTTTTCTAAATGAAGTTACCTGCTGTCTATCAAGCATCACATAGTTTATTTAGCCAACTGTTGTTGTTGTTGGGTGCCATCGAGTCAGTTCCAACTCATAGAGACTTCATGTACAACAGGATGAAACACTGTGCAGTCCTGCGCCATCATCACTACCGTTGCTATGCTTGAGCCCATTGTTGCAGCCACTGCGTCAGTCCATCTCTTTGGGGGTCGTCTCTCTTTCACTGACCCTCTACTTTAGCCAATTGCTGGGCTATTATTGGACGTCCATGTTGCTTTCCAGATGTTTTTGCCTCCATACACAAAGCTGTGGTAAACATCCTTACTTTTGTTCATGCCCTTGATTATTTCCTTAATGATAAATTTCTGAAAGTGAAATTGCTGAGTTGAAGGGTATGTGCATTTTAAGACTTTTGACTCAGGTTCACCAAAATGACCTCCAAAAAGGCTGCAACAGTTTGCATTGCCATCAGCTGTGCAACCCTTTTCCCAGTGGTTTCATCATTGCTGGAAATCATCATTAAAAATTTGTTTTGTTTAATTTTAAAAGTAGCACATTTTTGTTAAAAATACAGAATTGTAGAAAGTGCAAGTTCCCCACTATTCCCATTTTCCACAGAAAAATTTTTAAGAGTTTTGAGTTATCTCTGTACTTTTTGGGTATCATCAAATGCACCTACCCATTGCTTTCAAGTCGATTCTGACTCATAGCGACCCTGTAAGACAAAGTAGAACTGTCCCCATAGGGTTTCCAAGGCTGTAATCTTTATGGAAGCAGACTGCCACATCTTTCTCCCACACAGCTGCTGGTGGATTTAAAATGCTGACTTTTTGGTTAGCAGCCAAGCACATTAACCATTTGTACCTCTCAGGTACTCTGACCTAACTTTAGTCAGTTAAATATTTGCTTCTGTCTGTGTGTAGTTGACATTTTAATACAGCTTTTTAATGTCCTCATAAGTAGGATGACCATGAACCTTGTAAACTTGTTCTTTCTTTTCCTCATATATATAGTAGTGAATTTTAGAATCCTAGAACTTAATATAACAAGAGAGGAACCAATTCTCTTATTTCACAAACTGAGGCCCAGGTTTGCTGGGTGACTTGCTGAGCTCCTAAGGCTGGATCTTGAGAGAACAAGACCTTGTACCCAAATCTTCCCAACTTCAGTCCTGAGTGTTTTCCTCACTACATCATGCTATATTAGTACTTTAGGGTGGTTAGTAAATAAATGCCAATTAAACAGGAGACAGCTGAGCCAGTCAAATTTGCTTCATAGTCCTGTGTTGAAAGACAAGTTTTCATGATTCATTTATACTGTCTTCAGAATTGTGTGTGTGTGTTGTATGTTTAAAAAAAACAAAATAGGTTTTAGGCAGAAGTATATGTTAAAATATTTCCTTTTGAAATTTATGCCACACTAGAACACTAAAGCTGTGATATGTAAAACACTGCAGTATCTGTGACACACTGATTTTAAAATATTTCTGAATATTTGTCTTTTAAGTAGGATCTCAAAGCTTAAGAGTTAAGAATCTATCTAAACGCAGAACGGAATTTCAAATTCTCATGGAATCCAGACTTTCTGGAGTCATGGAGGGTAGATGAACCCCCTGAAACTATAGCCCTGCGATAATCTTTAAACCTTAAGGCAAAAATATTCCCTTGAAGTCTTTTTAAAACCAAACAGTAGTTTAGCTTGACTAGTAAAGAATGTCTGCCTTGAGCATTGTGCTGTTTTAAGATCTATCTATGGGATCAATGAGTTTATGTTAATAGGGGAGGAACAACTCAGAAAAGGCCGGTGAGAATGGTTGCACAACTTGAAGAATGTTATCAGTGTCACCAAATTATACATCTAGAAACTATTGAATTGGTATATGTTTTGCTGTGTATGTTCTCAATAAGAACAACAAAAATAAAATATATTATTTTTAAAAATGTCATTAGTGTTTTAGAAACTCACAGCTGGCTAATATAAAATAAAAACTAGAAAGGTAAACAATTGAAGAAAAAGAAATAAACAGGATCAGGGAATCTGAGCAGTATTTACCTTTTTATTGGCTCCCGTCTTTACCTTAAATGGACTCGTTTTTCACTCACGCTGTCTCTAGCTTACCAATAGACTGATTCCAGAAGTTTGAGCTAGCTGTTTGGGATGTGGTATGCATTTTCCTGTAGAAACACTATTCCTCAGGATGGCTGGTTGGGTTTACTGCAAGCCCACCAGAGTCAGTCTAACTGAAACCATGGGGTAATGAAACCACAGAGCCTATTCTAAGTTCTAGCTGAGAAGTGTTGGAGGTGAGAGGTGAGGCAGCATCTCCCCATCCCACCCCATCCCCTAATCTGCCATACACTGGCATTTCTTATGACTGTGGGAGAGATTGGCCATTGGTGGCCCTTTTGTCTGTGGAGAGTAGGGGACAATATGAACACTAACATGTACGGGAGAGACAAGATGTGTTTATGTGGTGAGAAAGGATAAAGGTGTGGGATTCAGCTTCTTGAGTGTTTGCAGGTTTGGTTATGCAGAGCAGAGATGGGACTCCTATGGGAAAGGTTAAGGGGTTTAAGTTTTTGCTTACACAGTTATAGTGCAGCACTGAAAAGTTGTAGTAAATTCTGGCAGCAGGAAGACAAAGATTTAAGGTTAAGGATGGCAGATTCTGAGGAAGGATAAGGAAGGAGGGCAGTTGTTTCTAAGATGGAGGCTTCAGTCAAAGGTAGCTTGTTTTACTAAAATTCATGTATATGTAGAAACCTGACAGTTAACATCCCAGGTGTTAAGTGTATTTTGCATAATCTTTTTTGGAGGGTATTTTGGCAATATTACTTATAATTTAAAATGCACATATTTTTTGACTCAAATTCTGCTTCTAGAAGTTTATCTTACAGCTAAAGTCAAATGTGTGCAACAATGTATGTACAAGGATGTTTGCCAGAACAGAAAGCCTGGAAACAACATCAATGTCTCTCAGTTAGGAAGGCTGATAACAGTGCAACCCCATCGGCTGTGGAGAGCGATGAAGTAGTAGATCCCTGTTTCGAGACTGGAGATCTCTGAAATGTTAATGAATGAGGGGGGAAAAAGAGAACAGAACAATAAGCATAAAAAGCACTCATGTTTTGAAATTTTATTTTTTTTTATATTTAATTTTAGATACAATTGTAATAGAAACACATACACTGTGGTATGTCTCTGGAAGGATATACAAGACTACTTGGGGGTTTGTATGGGGACGACCACATAATATTTGCTTTAAAACTGAAACTATTACATGTGCCCATATTGCTGTCTATTTAAAAACTCTAGTGTTGAAATTATAATGAATTATATAATTTTTTATAAATAATTTTATAAGTTTTTAATTTTCAAATAAATGTTGTACAATCAGGTTTTAAATTGTATTTGTTAGTAATTATTTTCTTTAGCACTGGGCTGCTAACTGAAAGGTTGATGGTTCGAACCCACCAGCTGCTTGGCTGGAGAAAGATGTGGCAGTCTGATTCCGTAAAGATTACAGCCTTGGAAACCCTGGGGGGCAGTTCTTCTCTGTCCTATATGGTCACTATGAGTCGGAATTGACTCCATGACAATAGATGTAGGCAGCCAAGGATGCCATTTAGTCGGTGAATTCATCTTACGTTGAAGGTGACAAAAGTCTGAGCTTGGTTTTTTTTTTTAACTCCTTTGTCTTTAGATCCCGTCCTGTGATTAACGTTCAGAAAACCATCACAGTAACACCTGACAAAATTGATCTCAGCAAGAAAATGTCGTGTGCAGCGCCTAGTGGGATATGGTGAGGGTTCTGCTGTTACTGTGTAGTTCTCCGCAGTTTTACACCTCTGCTTTATGATGACCCTGTTGCCCAAGGAGCCACAGGGAAGATTAAAAGAGAGCTGGGCAAAGGGAAGAGGAATCTGCCTAGTGAATATATAACATTTTACTCCTCAGTGGGTTGTGGGGGCATTCGAGAGCTGGGGAAACCCTTTGGTTTTTTCCTACTGCAATAATATGTCTTTTAAGAAACATGTGTTTGGTTTTATACAGCCTCAAGGTTAAGGCCTGCTTTGAATATACTGCTAAACCCACTGGTTATAATCCTTCAATAGGTAAGTACCCAGAACTTTTTGTAAAATATTTTCTGTTGGCCAGGTTGAAAATTCTGCCTAAATAACAGGAAAATAGACCTGCAGTGTCCACAATGGTTTCATAAAGTCATTTTCTTAAAAAATTAAGTGTGTGTGTTGTCTCTCCTTTAATCAGGAGGGTGTAGCACAGAGGAGGAAAAAAATCTCTCCTTCTAGTCCCCATTTGAATTTTCCAGCAGATGGTTTAGAACAGAATGTCTCGGGAAAGCACTCATTTGCTACCACAACCATTTCCTCAATTTCTGCCTTTGAAAGCCAGTGTGGAAAATTGGTTTGTGGTTGTGAGGTGGTGGGTGGTGGTTGTAGTAGGGTGCCTGTAGGAGCCTGAATACAGCATGAAGTAAGTGCCAGTTTATACGCTCTCTAGTTCCCTCCCTAAGAGGCCTCTGTGGCCTGGAACACCCAAGCTGTGTTCCCAAGCAAGTGCAGGCCCCTGGTGGAAGTTGATGGCTGACCTTGAGAATTCAGAGGCTCGGGCTCTGCTCCGGGTTCCAGCTTTGACGCTGACTGACCCTACAACACAGGGCAGCAATATCCTTAACAATTGAATTTTTATTTTCCCATCAGTTAAAAAAAGTGTCAAATAGTAATTCCTGCAAATGTTTGTGGTGGGATCAAATGAGATGATGTGGTGAAAGCAGTTTGTAATTTATGAAGTATTACTGTGCTTCCTCTGTTTATAATCTAAAAGAGGATTTTTGCCCCAAATTTTGACAGTGCTAATGATGCTCTGGTGGTGCAAATGGTTAACATGCTTGGCTGCTAACCAAAAGATGGGTGATTTAAGTCCACTCAGAGGTGCTTCTCGGAGCCCTCGTGGCACAGTGGTTAAGCACTGGGCTGCTAACCAAAAGGACAGCAGTTCAAATCCACCAGCTGCTCCTTGGAAACCCTGTGGGGCAGGTCTTCTCTGTCCTGTAGGGTCACTATGAGTTGGGATCGACTCGACAGCAATGGGTTTTAGAGGTGCCTCTGAAGAAAGACATGGGGATCTACTTCCCAAGAAATCAGTCATTGAATACTCTATGGAGCACAGTCCCACTCTGACACACACAAGGTCACCATGAGTCAGAGTCGACTTGGTGACAGCTGGTTAATTATACTCTAACAATAGTGAGCGTAACTAAAGTCTATTATCAGCTGGACAGATTGGATTTCTCTGGTATGTTTCAGTAGCAGCCTCACCTCTTCAGATGTGAGCCACCTGATCCAGCTCCAGAGCTGAGGCCAGTGCGTGGGAATTCAAAGAAAATCTTTTTCTCAAAGAGGAAACTGAAGGAACAATAGGATTTCCATCCCGCAAACCAGGCAGCTTAGTATCCTGGTTTTATACCAAGGGAAGCTTTGTGCCGGGGCAGTGTTGTTCTGCTATTTTTATGTGTTTTTCAGTCCTTCCCACACCTTGAGGTAATCAGTTCTCTTAAGTTCCCCTAGTTAATAATGTCTAGTTTGCAGTAGGGCTCTGATTGGGAATGAGGTGCTCCACCTACAAGAGGGAAATGCAGTTCACTTGTGCCCAGCTTCTCCTTGTTATCTAAGGGACTGCTTTGTTGTCTTTATTAAAAGAGGTCCCTTTTAAACTCTCAGAATTTGACAAGTAAGTCTGTCTTTACCCAATTCACACTTCCATGTCTTTGAGCTGTCATATGCACACTTAGCTTTCATCCGTCCAGACTTTAAGCTGTCCTTACAGGTGCTTTCCTCATCTCCATGGTCTTTTTAGGCCCCCTTTTTGGGCCCTGTCCTGCTGTACTGCATCTTCTTTGGGGGTTGCAAACCCTTGCACAATGCATTCTTGGTGTAAACGTGTTATGCCTTTGTGCAAGGCGGAGCCGGGGCTCTTCACTTGGCTCTTTGATGTGGCCGGCTTTTTCTTGAGTATAAATAGCAATTCTCTTTGTGGCTTTTAATGACAAGAAAATGTCGACTGCGACTCCTCAGGATCTGTCATTCAGTATCGTTTGCATTGTTTTTACCCAAATGCATTACCTTACACTTGCCCACCTGGATAACAGGCTTTCACCATTATTTGGAAGTGGACTAGAGAGACGAGGAGAAAGAGTGATTCTTGAACCGGGCAGGGGAGACATTTTTATTCTACTAGGCAGACTCTCGTTTTTTCAGACCGCTCTCAGTTTGACTATAGATGTGAAATTTCATCAGAGTGCTCCTTGTTTCTCCCCAAATCAATGATTTATATATCATAAATTACAAACTTTCTCCTAGCTTTTATGCAGCATTTTAGGCCATGTGTGCTAATACCTTTATATTATAGAGCTAGTCTGTTAACCAGGTGTTTACTGATGGCCTGTTATGGGTCAAACTTTTTTCTCTGAGGAGACTCAGTGAAAACCCATTTTCATTGCCTGTGCTTCCACAGTACTGGAAAATTCTAAATCAAATTAAAGCAGAACTTCCACAAAGCTGCATAAGTTAATATATCTAAAACATCCCCCTGGTATCTGAAAATATGAGCTTGTTTTGACCAGGAATTTTAGATCAGCAGTCCTTAGATGTAGTATTCCATACATACAGAGATTTATAATTGAGCCTTAATGAGTATTCTACTTGGCTTGCCCCTCTAAAGGTCAACAAAGGTGGCCAGCAAGGATTTTAAGATGATGTGAACTGTCTCGAGGGTTAGGGAAGGTCAGAGTGGGTTTGGTAGATGAATGGTTTTAATGCACCCACATCCTTCCTGACTCTTGCTGCGAGGGGCACTCAGCGTGTGAGCCTTCATCTGGTTCATCGTGAAGTTAGCAGGTCACCGATAAATGGATGATGTCAAGGCTGCAGAGGGCCTAAAATGGGGAGTATTCCACTTGGCAGTGGTGACATTTAAGAATTTTTCAGATGGACTCAGAAATTACTATTGAAACTGTCAGTGTTTCTAAAATTTGGCCTTACACATCTGAATAGCTATTGTTTTGGCATAAGAATAGTGTTTATGTGTGTATTTATGTGTATTTGTGTGTATGAGTTAATATGCACCCAGTTACACCCACTTCCATTTATTTATTCCTACAAATCACATATATTTGTAGTTCCTGGGGAATACCACGGTGAACAAGACTGACATGGTCCTCTCCTTGGCTTTGCTCCACTAGGGAATAAAAAAAGAAAAAAAACGTGTATTAGAGTAGAACTGTGCTCCATAGGGTTTTCAATGGCTGGTTTTTCAGAAGTAGATCACTAGCTAGGCCTTTGTTTTGAGGCACCTCTGGGTGGACTCAAACTGCTAACCTTTTGGTTAGCAGCCAGGCACATTAACAGTTCATACCACCCAGGGACTCCCCACTAGGGGATACACTTAGGCAATTATAGCACAGTAGGCTAAACATTGTGGTTGGAGAAAAAACCGAGTACTTACTGTAGGGTCCCTATGAGTTGGAATCAACTCAACGGCAACAGTTTTTTTCTAGGATCACACAGGAGGGTCCAGGGAGTGCTTCCTAGAGGAAGTGATGTCCAAGCTGAGATCTGAAGGAGGAGGGGTAGGTTGGGAGAGGAGGAGGGGCAGTGGGCGGAGGGAAGGAGTGGTTCCTGCAGAGGCCTAGAGGCAAGTGAAAACGTGGACATCTAAGAGCCTTTAGAAAACAGCCACCATGAGCATTTGTGACAGAAGCGGGCATCATCTCTGTCTCTCACCGTGTGGCCCTGGGCCACTCACCTACCTTGCTGGGCCTCCATTTTTTTCATCTGCAATTGAAATAGACACTGTAAACAGTCTCCTGATTCTAATGTGAATATTAGAAAGTAGGTAGAACATTTTCTGTTTTCTGTAGCAGATTTTTTCCTCCAGGCTGACTTCTCTGGCCCTTTGCACACTTTGATTTGCTTTCTCATCTGATGGTTAGTGAGCACTAAATGTATGTAAGTAATTTAAGTACCTGCCCACGAAAAACATAGTTAGCAGCTACATCCAGCGAACCGACAAAGAATGCATTCTAAAGTCAAGAAAATGAGGTTTTGATCATCCAGACCCTGGCTTGCCTCCATGGTCCTTAGCATAGATAATGGAGAGCAAGCCGTTAGGTCTAGAGCTATGGGGCTTGAAAGCTTTGGCTGTGATGGAGCTATGTTACTCTTGACAGAGGGCCCTCTAGCCACTAATGAATACATTTTTAATTCTTTATTCTAAAAAAGTGAAAGGTCTCATACTACTGTCAAAAACTTTTCCATCTCCGTTGTTGTCAGTTGCCATTGAGTCGATCCCAACTCGTGACGACTCCATGTATGCAGAGTAGAAAACTGCTCCTAGGGTTTTCAAGGCTATGACCTTTCAGAAGCAGATTGCCAGGCCTGTCTTCAGAGGCGCCCCTGGATGGGTTCAAGCTGCCTCTCTTTTGGCTAGTAGTCGGAGTGCTTAACCTTTTGTGCCAGTCAAGCATCTGTGCTTCTCAAACTTTAGTATACATAAGAATCACCTAGTGGTCCTGTTAAATGTCAATTCTGGTTCAGGAGGTCTCCTGTGGAGCCTGAGATTCTGCATTCCTAACAGCAGCATCTAGGGAAATGCTGAAGCGTTGTTCTGGAGACCCTCTGTGAATAGCAAGACACTACTAAACTGTTTAGGAGCCCTGGTGGCGCAGTGGTTAAGAGCTCGGCTGCTAACCAAAAGGTTGGCAGTTTGAATCTACCAGTCACTCCTTGAAAACTCTATGGGGCAGTTCTACTCTGTCCTATAGGGTCGCTATGAGTCGGAATCAACTTGAGGGAACAGGTTTGGTTTTGGTTTTAGGGTGTTAAGCATCGGACAGTTTGAAGAGAATCAGTTTAGGCCCTTAGGGAGTGTTGGACCCCTTCTAGTTAGCTTTAGTATTCTGTGAATCATTGAGACACTGCTGAGAGGTTTTGACTTATTCTCGAGCTCCCCCAGGTGGCCCGATGAAAAGTTAACTTTGAAATATCGTTAACAGCAATGGGAGGGGAAGGACAGCTTTATTGCAAACATCACAAATCCTTAACATGTATATTAGCAGGAAATCTGAAGAGAAACATTGGCAGTGGGAAAAAGTGTTCTAGAAGTTAATATTTTTTTTAAAGGAACTCAGTATACTTACAGCTGGATCATGCATGAATGCACTTGAAGTTAATATGATTTTGTTAATTTTATTTAGTAATTGTGGGCACACTTGAAGCTGAAAAGGAAAGAAGGAAATCTGGGCTATCGTCAAGAGTTCAGTTTCGAAACCAAGGTTCCGAGCCCAAGTATACTCGGCAACTCACTCTGAGTAGGCAGAAGCAGAAGGTGTGCATGGATGAGACCCTCTGGCTGCAGGTGAGGGCTGCAGGTGGTCACGTCAGTTTTTTAAAAAAGACAGAAGCCGAGTTTTATGTTGGTCTGTAGATATTTCTGAATTTTTTTCTAGCAATCCATTGTTTATTATAAAATAAAGCATTGTTTTTGGACTTCTTCAATAGCATTCTTCAGTATATCACTTTCTAGCTACTGTACTTAACTATATCACTGCATACTTTTCAGGAAAATATCAGAGATAAACTGCGTCCTATTCCCATAACTGCTTCAGTAGAGATCCAAGAGTCTAGCTCTCGTAGACGAGTAAATTCACTTCCAGAAGTTCTTCCAATTCTGAATTCGAACGAGCCCAAGACCGTCCATACAGATGTAAGTCTTTCTGACTCTTATTTTGCCTTTTTTTTGCTGTATTGTCATGCTAAATCAAATGTCTTTGAAGGCAATAGGACTAGTAATTTGCTTTAAAGACCATTCCTTTGTATAAATAAGCTTTGTAGTATATACTGTGTCTGAGAAGATTTGTTTCCCAAATTAGCAGTGAATATAGAGACATGAGTTGGAACCAACTCGATGGCAGTGGGTTTGTGTCTATTTTTTTTTTTTTTAAACATACAAAATATAATTTGGAGCCAGAGAGTATTTTTTTTCTTTCTTTGTTTTTTTGGCCATTGCAACTTATTGAGGCTATATAATTGACAGAGTTCATTATTCTCACATCAAGTTTGTCCCATAGCTACATGCAGAAAGATATATGTATTTTACCACTGGGAATATTAAAATGTAGAAGACAAACTATTTGCTGTTAATCTGAACAAGGACTAATAAAATCAAGGAATATCAAAATCCAGCAACACAAAAGATTATTAGCAAGGAAATAGTGCCTCATGTAGCCTAAGTAATCTTAGAAAAATTTATATTGTCTAGCTTGCTGGACATCTCCTATGAGGTGGGGTCTATTTGCAAGGGTTTAGGGTGGCTGGGAGGCAAGGTTAGGATTGTAGCCATGGCATCTTGATTTGGCGTATGCACAAAACCTAATGGAGCTGGAGTGTCTGCCTCAGGGCTCTTGGATCACTGACGTTTTTCAGAAGTAAGCCCTCGCTACGTTAGGCTTAGGAGCTGATGCCTAAATCTATACTTGTCAGTCATTATTACCCCCAAATATAGTTCCTTATACTTTGAAGACCCTCAGTATTTGTGTTATATATTGTTATCATATTAGTATTTCTTGTGTACATTTCCAGCTCCATAGCCATGTTTAAACATAACAAGACAGTTTTCCTAATTATTTGTTGATGTGATGATTGTGCAATTAGAGTTTTGCGAAGTACTCTCAGTCATTTCCTTTCCTGACCTTAAGCTCTGTTTCTGCATTTGTACAATGCGGCTGATTATAGTATATTCCTCATAGTTCTGTTGTGGGAATTAAATGAGTTAAAATATGTAATGATGCTACCTAGCATCATCATCATTATTAATAATTCTTACAATAGCCCTATAAAGAGGATGATGGAATTCCCATGTTACCTAATGAAACTTAGACTCTGAAAGGTTAAGTGACTTGCCCAAAGCCACTTAACCTGCTCAGTAAGTGGCAGAGCCAAGTTTGGAACCCATATCCAGGTGGCTGCAGGGTTCATGCTCTTTACTGCCCCATGTTGCCCGTCTGCCCTTGCCAAATGTACTTGAAGCACAGTTTTCTTAAAGGGCAGAGTGGGAATTAGATGCATGGCAAGGTATCTTTGAAACTTGAATTCGCCAGTGACCTTGTCATGCAGGGAAATGAACTGTATGGAAGCAGCCAGTAACCTATTTAGATGCCCTTCTGAGTCCTGAATGGTGTTAAGTACACTAATTTTTTTTTTCCTACAGGTACACTTCTTAAAAGAGGGATGTGGAAATGACAATATATGTAATAGCAACCTTAAACTGGAATATAAGTTCTGTACCCGAGAAGGAAATCAAGACAAATTTTCTTATTTACCAATGTAAGAATCACTCTGTAACAATAGCAAAATGACTCTGGCTTTGCAGTGGTTTTCTGTTAGGAAACGGTTACTAAAAATGTATTGAGGACTTCGGTGTTTTCTTTGTTGTTGTTTTTCAGTAGCCAAAAAGGTATACCAGAACTAGTTCTAAAAGATCAGAAGGATATTGCTTTAGAAATAACAGTGACAAACAGCCCTTCCAATCCAAGGAATCCCACAAACGATGGTGATGACGCTCATGAGGCTAAACTTATTGCAACGTTTCCGGACACTCTGACTTACTCTGCATATAGAGAACTGAGGTCTTTCCCTGTAAGTATTTTTAGAGAGCGGCTGGGGGAAAGAAGTCCCACACTGTATAGCAAATGAATATATTGTCATCTAGTTCCTTCTTCTCTGACAGGAGAAACAGCTGAGTTGTGTTGCCAACCAGAATGGCTCTCAAGCAGACTGTGAACTTGGAAATCCTTTTAAAAGAAATTCCAGTGTAGGTGACGCTTTCACACATTTTATTTTACTGTTTTAAATACTGTTACAGTACTGATATGCTTGGCCTCTGTTAACAGCTATTTATATTTTCTAGGTGACTTTTTATTTGATTTTAAGTACAACGGAGGTCACCTTTGACACCACAGATCTGGATATTAATCTGAAATTGGAAACGTAAGAGTTACTTCAGCCTTTCCATGCAGTATTATTTCATGAAAATGCAGGCAGTCAATGAATTGGCCCTGATCTAGCTCATAAAAGAAGTGTAATTGTAATAAGAAAACTGACTGTTAAAATAAAACCCTATTGTTTCCTTTTCTTGTCAGAACAAGCAATCAAGATAATTTGGCTTCAATTACAGCTAAAGCGAAAGTGGTTATTGAACTGCTTTTATCAGTCTCTGGGTAAGTGTTTGTATTTAGCATAACAAATCAATGTTTGAAAGAACCATTTACAATCCTTACTAAAACTGGTGTTTTTTTAATTTAACAGAGTTGCTAAACCTTCTCAGGTGTATTTTGGAGGTACAGTTGTGGGTGAGCAAGCTATGAAATCTGAAGACGAAGTGGGAAGTTTAATAGAGTATGAGTTCAGGGTAAGTTGGAGCAGAGTTCTGTTGGTCCTTTTATTATTCCAGAAGCTAACATATACTATGTATGGTCTTGAATATGTAATTTTAATAAATAATATTTATAAATAGCTAAGCATTATAAAGGAGCCCTGGTGGTGCAGTGGTTAAGAGCTACGGCTGCTAACCAAAAGGTCAGCAGTTTGAATTCACCAGCCACTCCTTGGAAATCCTATGGGGCAGTTCTACTCTGTCCTATAGGGTCGCTAGGGTCACTACACTACTAGTCGGAATCAACTCGAAGGAATTGGGTTTTGTTTTGTTTTTTTTTAGTTAAAAATGAGTTTGCTGGGGGAGGAACAACTCAGAAAAAAGGAGGGTGAGAGTGGTTGCACAACTGGAAGAATGTAATCAGTGTCACTGAATTGTACATGTAGAAACGGTTGCACTGATGTATGTTTTGCTGTGCACATTCTCAACATAGGACTTTGTTCAGAATCCAATTTAGCTTGTTTTTCTTCTTTAAGTTAGTTTTCATATATATGCAGTGTAGAAATACCTGATTTTTCTACCCAGAGTCCATAAAACAAAGAAAAATCTAAAAAAGTAATTTATATTTGGCCTTAGAATGTGTTAGGATTTGCTTCTTCTTTCATTATAAGGTCCTCTTTCCAAATGCCTGGGGTTGAAAGAATGATAATGCTTATTTACCTTTCACAAGCCCAATTTTATGATAGTGTGAATTTGGTATATACCGGTAAAACCAGTTGCCGTCAAGTCCATTCCAACTCACAGCGACTCCACATGTGTCATAGTAGAACTGTGCTCCATAGCGTTTTCAATGGATGATTGTTTGGAAGTAGCCAGGCCTTTCTTCCAGGGAACTTCTGGGTGGACTTGAACGTCCACCCTTTTGATTAGCAGCCGAGCACATTAAACTCTTTGCATCACCCAGGGACTCCATATGCCAATAAGGAAGACTAATAATTGTCTCTGAACCATTTCAAAGAAGGCAGTCACACTGACTCTGTCCAGCTGAATGAGCATAAACACATGGTATAGAGCCCACTCATAACTCATGGGTGAATTTGGCTCAAATCACCTTTCTGAAAGCATAGTGACCACTGAAGTGAAAGTCTGAAATCGCAAGAACGGACCTGCCCCTGACTCCAGCAGGGCAAAGAAGCTGAATTCTACCCTGTGTGTCTCTTAACGCTAAGGACAGCTGTGTGAGTTAATGATGGTGGTTATGAGTCTGTACAGGTATGGCTGAAAAGAAGTCTGTGGGTTCAGGAGTGAGGCTTCACACAGACAAAGAGAGCTCTTCCTCTTGCTTTGGGTTCTGCTGCAGGAAGTTGCTTGGTTCTCAGCTTGGACTCATGGGTTCGTGACTGTCATACAATTTTACTCAAAGTCTCTGTTGTTAACCAAGTCTCCCTGGGTAGTAGAGGACAGAGTCTGTTTCATTTCACAGTGGGTGAGGTTTCCCTAAAGCAGATTGGGGCACTGCCTCCGCACAGGCTTCTTCATCTGCTGAGCAGGTAGTTACAGAGTAACTCACAACACATGCATGACCTTGCCTCTTTCCCTGGGCATGTGGAGAACATAGCATACCTAGAGTGCCAATTCTATTGGACCCGGCAACTTTTCTGGATTGAGTTAGCAATCGTCTCTCTTTGGTCTTATTTTTTTCCAGTCTATCTTAAAACATTTAACACATTTTATTGAGATATAATCCACATACCATACAATTCATCCAAAGTGTACAATTCAAAGGTTTTTAGTATATTCACAGAGTTATGCAACCATCAATACAACCTAATTGTAAACATTTTCATCACCACAAAAAGAAGTCCCATACCCATTAGCAGTCATTCCACATTCTCCACACCCTCCTCCCAGCCCTGGGCAGCCTCTAATCTACTTTCTGTCTCTTTGACCTTTGTAAAAACAAAAAATTTGTTGACAAGAACCTTTAAACACAGTTGTCTATTTTGAATACCCTATATATAGTCCTGGTTAAGAGCTATGGCTGCTAATCAAAAGACCAGCAGTTCGAATTCACCAGCCACTCCTTGGAAACCCTGTGGGGCAGTTCTACTCTGTCCTATAGGGTTGCTGTGAGTTGTAATTGACTCGATGGCAACAGGTTTTAGGGTTTTGTTTTTTTTGTTTTTTTTTTTTTTGGTATATATAGTCCATTTTTGGTGTCTGTGATTTTTGTAGGATTATGTCAGATATTTTGCTTTTTTCTCTTGGTGATAGGAGCTGCTACTTAATTTTGCATTAAAATAATTAAACTGAGATAATGTGTATTATTTTCTAACAGGTAATTAACTTAGGCAAGCCTCTTAAAAACCTCGGTACAGCAACCTTGAATATTCAGTGGCCAAAAGAAATCAGCAATGGCAAATGGTTGCTTTATTTGGTGAAAGTGGAATCCAAAGGATTGGAAAAAATAGCTTGTGAGCCACCAAGTGAAATAAACTTCCTGAAGCTAAAGGTATGTCGGTAGTCTTATCCAGTATCCCCATAGACGCAAGCAAGAAAAGATAGCTCTTGAGGAAAAATCATCACTCTTAGAAACTGGCACTCTGGCATGTTGGGTTGTTCTTTGGTATTGCAGTTTCTCTTGTTTAGTTGAGTAACCAAGTCAGATTGAGGAGTTCTGCTGACTGGTGACCATCCTGGCACATAAGGCAGAGTGCCTCAGTGCTTGTCGAGGCCAATGACATTATCTGAAGTTTCATGACCAGCAGTTACCCAGTAGGATACTATGTAAGGAGGACTGGGATGTGGTCCCTGTTGGCGGGGAGGGACGGGTGTGAGCCACCAGTGTTAACTCCTAGTTGATTTCTAATTGCACCGACCAAAAATATGTTGCGTTTGTTAGCCATAAAAATGACCAGTAGAACCAAACTTATTGCAAAGGTATTGGGTACCTTAGCAAATGACTGTGAAAGCTTTTCATTCCTCATTCTGACTCTTTTTAAATAGTAAACATGCATTGAGTACTCATTGCATCTCAGGCACTGCGCTAAGCATTTTGTCTGTACTTTCTCATTTCATTCTTTTGATAGTCCTATGAAGTAAGAACTTTTATTATACCAACCATTTCACAGATGAGGAAATTAAGATTCAGAGAGATTAAGTAGCGTGCCCAAAGTCACTGGGCTATAAAGAGGCAGATTCAGCATTCAAGCTCAGCTCAGCCTAATTTCAAAGCCTGCACTTTTACTTTTACACACACTCCCTGCCCCACCCTCACTCTATACTGTGCTCCAGATTGATTTAACTGACTTCTCATTTCCACTCTAGTTTGATGAAGGTTTGTTTTGTCATTGCATGTCTGTTTTAAACTCTACAGTCACTGGGTGTGACCAGTGGTCATAGTTGGTAGCTTGTAGCGTGATCTTCTACTCATCAGCTTTTAAAAAACAAGATGGCCCATTATTCCCAATGGTTATTATAAGGAAAAATGCCATTTTAAAACTTCTTATATGGCTGAGTTTTCAGTACTCTACTTTGAGTAAGTCATGTGATGGTTTTTTTGGCCTCTTTCCCTGTTCCTCAGTGTCACTTATTCATTCGAGATTTGTTGACTATCAGCTGTAAAGTACTGAGCTGTGTAGGGGTCTAGTAATAAGATATGATCCCTGACCTAAGGATGCTCCCAGTTTGGTGGAGAGACAGAGGAACAGAGAGCATTCTTCTCTTCCCCTGGGTTTTAAGGTCAAGGTGGAATGAATTGCCTTAATAAACTTGACGTTTAGATTGGTAATAGCATATGCTGGTTTTACACCTAAGTTATTTCTGTGCCTTTGATGACAGGAAAGTGGCTAATCTTAATTGTCGATTATGTGAATTTGGCATTGTTTGGGAGGGTGTGCTTATGAGGTTTGCACCGTATGACAAAGAAGTAAAAGTGGACCTGTTTTGGATATAACTCTTCTCAGGAGTCTCACAACTCAAGAAAGAAACGGGAAATTGCCGAAAAACAGACAGACGATAGCAGGAAATTTTCTTTATTTGCTGAAAGGAAATATCAGACCCTTGTAAGTATTTTCAAAAGCTGTGAAGATTTGACAGAGGGCGGAGGAGAAGGTCTTCCCCAGAATGTTGCATTTTCACTACTGATCTTCTTTTTCCTCTAGAACTGCAGTGTGAACGTGAACTGTGTGAACATAAGGTGCCCGTTGCGAGGGCTGGACAGCAAGGCCTCTGTAATTTTGCACTCAAGGTTATGGAACAGCACTTTTCTAGAGGTGTGACTCTGCCCTGCCCCTGGAAGTCATTGCCACCTGCTAGGACATTCCGCATGTCCCTAACGCATTCACTAACTTTGTCTCCAAACAGGAATATTCCAAAATGAACTACTTGGACGTTCTCATGCGGGCTTCCATTGATGTGACTGCTACCGCAGAGAATATCAAGCTGCCAAACGCAGGCACTCAGGTGAGGGAGACCCCAGTCCTCATTCAGGTTCAAAGAAAATCACTCTTTCCTCCACACCCACAGCCTGAGGCCGTGCTTCTTTGGCTGTTCATTTCCCTTATTACACTGTTACCCCATTAAGGAGAAAACAGACAATGTCTTAAGGTACTGCTTTTCAGCAGAGCTTTCAGACTAAGATGGACTAGGAAGAAAAGACTGGCGATCTACTTCGAAAAATCAGCCAGCGAAAACCCTATGGATCACAATGGTCCAATCCCATTGTGCATGGGGTTGCCATGAGTCTGGGGGCTGACTCCACGGCACCTAACAATAACAACAAGCTAAGCTGTATTTTAATAGAATCATTGAAAAAATAAGTAAACCTAGGGTCATCTAGTTCATCAGCGCACATGGTAGACTTGAGAGCTATTGGCTCAGAGAAAGAATGGATACACCTCCCAGCCCTGCAGAAACCCATGTCATACAGGATCCCTGCTGTTGCAGCCATTATTGGAGTACCCACAATAATGGTAGCCCATGCCGTGTTTAACCAGATGCAGTTATTGGAAGAGGTCTCTTTATATGTGGATCCAGAATTGAACCTTGTAAAATAGGTCCCTGGGTATGCCCCTTGGGATGAGTCTAAAACAAGTTCTTACTCTTTGTTGTGTAGCACTCTTTCAAAGAAATGAAGGAAACTGTCAAGCCTCCTTGGACAGGTCTGTCTTATCCTTTTCAGAGCTAAGCGCCCCAGCTCTTCAGTTATTTGTCATGCGAGGCAAAACTAAACTGGTTCCAGGCCTCTCCCCATCCTAGGCCTGCCCTTATTGGGCAGTGTCCTAGTTTAGATGTAATTCTCAGTAGTTGAGCTGTGGGCTGCCCGGTTCAGTTTACCCTGGGACCATTACCTCCCAGCAGCTCAGCACCACACTTCTATCAGCCCAACTAAAATTTGGTTTGTAAGTGTTTCCTAAAGATTGCCTTTGCATTTCTAGCAGCTGCTATTTTTTGCATTTCTGTTCTACTGAAACTTTCAAGTGTTTTTCTTCAGAATTTGTGGTCAAGTTATGTTTCCCATATGCTGTCCTTTTGCAAGTTTTAAAAATCAAAATGTAACTTCACAGTTTTTGTGGGATTTGTTTTGGTCCATTGTTTCTGTTTGTGAAGTAATTATGAATCTTGATGATTTGCTCTTTTAACTTTCTATCATCTAAGCATTATGAAAACTAGGAAGCATGCCTTCTATGTCTTCATCTAAGCAATTAACAAAAAGATTGAACAAGACTAGGAAGAGAACCGCGTAGTGAACCACGAGTGAGAGATTCCCTGTGGGGGTCTGGAACCCACAGGGACATGTTATCAGGATCTTCAGGCAGAATGACTTCACGTCATAAAAGACATCATGGTTGGTGGGACTGTTTCACAAAGAGACTGAGTAGAGGAAGAATGATTGTGAATTACTGCTCTTATGTTGACACTGATCTACTAATGGAAATTTTCTGGCTTCAGTTGTTTAGCCAGCTGAAATCAGTGATCTTCCCTATCTAATAGAGCCTCCCTGGTCACTCTGATTTCTGGTGGTCCTTAGGGTATCCTTACAATTTATCATCCAAACCAGAGTACATTTGTCTGGGACAAATGCTAACCCAGGCAGGATGCTTAGACAAGTGGTGTAAGCCAGGACTGTCTCGGGCTCACCAGGACATATGGTCACGCTCACTGTGTATTATTTCTGCAAGTTACACCATCCCACCTTTCTATATCTTTTATTAATAAGGCATCATAAGTCAAAAAAACCACACCTTCCTTGAGAATCCTTTTTATGCATCTCTGGCCGAAGGCAGCTGCTGTAGCTTTCTGTAACTTTAAGTCAGCAGCTCTGAGAATGACTGAGTTTTTAGAGCTGGAAAGAGAGCTAACATCTTAGAGGTAAGAGTCTAACATTAATAAAATGACCCTCACTTGCTAGATACTTTACCTGTGCTCTATTATTTAAAGTTCAGAAGAATAGCAAGGTAGACATTGTACCCATTGCACAAAAAAGGAAGCAGGCTCAGAGAGGGGATGTCATGTGAGGTCCTGGATTGAACCCCCATGGCTGTCTGACTTCAGGGCTCTTGTTCTTTCACTCTGCAACCCTTGGTCTTCATTAAATCTCCACATCTCAAATTTAGACGAGGAAACTGGCTTCAAGGAAGGTTGTGTCCCCCTCAAGGTCACATGACCAGCAAGTAGAAACCAGACCTTAGTCCCACAAGTCCTAGTCAAGTACTTTCTTCTTCTGGAAGATGTGATGGGACTGGGGCCCCTGGTGTTCACTCTAGTGTCTGGGTCACAAATGGAAATGAGAGTCTCTTGGTCATGCTGTGTTCTTAGGACTTGGAGAACTCATGCCTCCTAATGGGAATTGGAGCCTTTACTGTGACCCTACTTTATTTCTTTAATAATTGGTAGATTTGTGAGTGGGATTACTGGTCTCTTATTTCTAGAACCCATTTCTTTTAAAAACTGAGACATTGGCTTATCTCTAGACTTCTGATAACCTCTTGTGTTCTGCGGTACAATAGTTCAGATATCATATCTACATGTTTCTTTAGTATTCTAGGGTGCAGTTTTTCTAGGCCTACAGATTCAAACTTAATTCAAGTGTCGGGAAGCCTTCGTTTATGGTGGGTTTCAATTTCATCCTTACCTTGGTTTACCTATCCTTTTCACTCTGAAGATCATTTTCTTTGGAGATAGAAGCAAAAGAGGTTGAGTAATTCAGTCGGTCATTTGGTCTTAATATCACAGCTTCCTCCCATTGCTTTTACTTTAATCCTGGCTTTTAAAAAAAAGAAGAAAAAGAAGAAATCTTTTGTTTCCTTAAAATCCAACCAGTTTCAAAACATTTTTGTTTACTTTCCAATAAAGCATCTTTAAATCAAGACACTCCAACTACTTTGCAATAAAGCATGTTTAAATCAAGACACAACAAGGTCAGACAGAGCAGAAATCACATAATTCAACCAGATGAGAAGGTTGCATTTTAGCATCAATTAAATCCATCCAATTAAGAAAGACTTATTAAAGATTCCTGGTATGCCTTCCCTGTGCTAAATGCTAGAGAAGCAAAGTTGAATATGATAGTGTCAATTGCTAAGAATGTCATGATCTGGGAGACAGTGAACCAGGCAAGAATTACTGAATTAAGCCAAGAAAGGAGGTTGTTTTTGTATACCCCTACTTTATTCCTAAGGAAATAGGAAGAGAATATCTGGCCACCAAAGATAAAAGAAAACATGATACGTAAAAATGAGCACATCATTCTTAAGGGGAATGAGATTTTCTCTTTTTGGCTCTAAATTCAAAGAAGAACTTGAGATATTGATCCTTTTATAAGATTGATTCTTCTATAAGGAACACTTACTAAGAATCGATTTAATAGTGTTGTAAAAGATATGAAAATCTCTTCATATGGTGATTTATCATACTGATCTTCAATAAAAGTGGAGGGTGTTACATTACAGAGTAATTTAGGGAAAGTACTTGGCAGTTGGCAAGCTAATGTGTCCTAAGCACTCACTGCTCAGTGATCGTCGAATTTAATGCATCGGCAGAGCTGAAGCCTCTTTCCCCTCACAGGGAACCAGATGGGTGAGGTTCACATGCGTGGCTCATCCCTATGGAAATGCCTAGATTTTGATGAAATTTTTTTTGTTTGTTTTGGAGTTGTTAAAGCCCCCTATGATAGTTTATAATTGCCTTAACTTTTCATTGTCTGTCAGTAACAGTTGCTGTGGCAAAGACAAGGCTTCCCAGAGCTCTGGTAATCACAATCAGTCTAGCTCCACCCTAACTCCCAATCCCAGCTGTAAAATGGTGGCCATACCAAAAAAAAAAAAATCATAAACTTCATATAAAACCTTCAGTTGACAATTTAAGTAAATAAAGCATAATAAAAACTTGCTGACTGGTCTCTCCCACCCTCCTGAACTGCAGCCTGGCCTTGTACACAGAAGGTTTGCAGGGCGTATCTGCCCTTTAAATGTGTAGCCCAGCCCTTTATTTCGGGCTTCATTCTTTTGATCTCCAACGAGTTGTTTTACAATTTCTAAAAGGTTCCAAGCTCTGGTTTTAATGGTGGCCAGATTCAGGGCTTAGAGCTCTCAGTGGCTCTCCTGCCACCCCAAGCTGCAAAATCAAAACTTACTTGTTTCGGCCCTTATGCTGTTGGATTGTAGCCATTTATGAGAATAGTTTTTCTCGTATTATCACCTATTTTAAAGGCTCTGATATACAGTGTGATTATAATTAGGCTTTCCATGGACCAGTCTCCACTTCCAGATTTACCAGAACTTATTCTTACAAAAAGGAGCCCTAAGCATGCTAGATGGTACCCGGCTACCACCACTGACTGCTCTGACCAGGATCACAACAGAGGGTTCTGGACAGAGCTGGAGAAGGATGTAGAGCATAATTCTAACTCACAA